CCACACAGCCTGCTGTTCAGTCGTTTGGTCGTCCCTCACTAACCCACCTGCTGGCCTGTTCGTAGGCAGCCATCTTGTGAGGGCGTGAGGGTTAATTTGCATATTACTTCTTTATTGTATAGGATATCCCCCTTCAAGATTTCAGCCAATAGAAGAGATCGTGAGACATTCAGTGTCTGATACCATGCCTACCTTTTTCCTCTTTGCCTTCACATTTATTTGTGGCAGAAGGCTTAGGTTTCCCTTCTTTCAAATATACATACTCTCTTTGGTCATCTAAATTCTTCCTACCAATGGCTTATAGTACACTCAAAGATAAAGTTGCAAACCCTGTTCTTTTTTTTTTCCAACCACAGTTTACATTCATTATGCACCAGTTTCAGATGTATAGCAAAGTGGCTGGAAAACCATGCTCTCCTCAGAGTGGTCCCTGGCTTCCCTAAGCACCCAGCTGGCCCCATACCCCGTTATCTCAACATTACTGAATATATTCTCCAAGCTGCAATCCACATCTCTGTGGCTGTTTTGCAACCATCAATTTGTACTGCTTAATCCCTTTACCTTTTCACCTAGCTTCCTGACCCTCCTCCCTTCTGTTCTGTTTCTATGAGTCTGTTTCTAATTTGCTTGGCAAACCCCTTTCTTGATACACTAATGAGCATAATAAAATTAGAACTTTTTCTCTCAACAAAAATGTGGCTTTTCAAGATATATTGAAAAGGAAAATTCAGTTTTGGTAGTGAAATTGAACATCAAGGTCTCACCTGACTGAGAAGATCACAGACTTGGAAATGCAAAGAACAAAACAAAATAGAAAACCAACACCAACAAAAAGCACATTCATGTATTTTAAACATTTATAATTCGATTACATATTTTTCTCTGTTTTTGGCAACTGTTCAATGGCAACTTATTTAGAGACATTTTGGTATATATTGTGTCATTTTTTTGCTACATATTGTGAAATTTTATTGGTTCAGAATAATTTATCTGTTTTACATATGACAGTGTACTAGCCCAGAATGATTTATATATTTTACAAAATATATAAAGATATTTTAATTTACTTATGTATAAACATATGTAAGATTTAAGGCAAAATGTTTATTTTATATAATTTTTTATTATAAGTAACAAGTGAATGTACAATAATAAATGTTTTAAATTCATAATATCTATAAAGGATTATATAAGATGTCAATTTTACAGACTATACATCACAGCTGCATCATATATTATTCCCAAACAGGTAGTGGCTCCTAAGAAAGCCCGTTTAACAGAAGCTCAGAAGTCCTTAGCTGAGATAATGGAAATTTTGAATCAGAAGAGAGCAGAATTGGCAGAAGTTGAACATCATTTGGAAAATTTACAAAATATATTTTCTGAAAAAACTGAGGAAAAGGCTCGTTTAGAAGATCAGGTGGAACTGTGTGCTAAGAAGCTTGAAAGAGCCTCAAAACTAATTGGAGGACTGGGTGGAGAAAAATCAAGGTCATATTTCTGCTTATTTTAGCAACATATAAAAATGTCAGGCTTGAATATGTGACTTTATTTGATATTTATTATGATCATTGATTTTAAAATGTCTGGTTGAAAATGTGGGACATTCTACAAGGCACCTGGCCAAGGTTCTCCAAAAAGAATATCAATGTCAAAAGACATTGTTTGGAACTTGCTTTCAAATGTTTAAAAAGAGAAGCAAATAAGGGAAGTGATCATTTTTATTGATTTTAGAGAGAGGGAGGGAGGGAGAGAGAGAGGAACATCTATGTGAGAGAGAAACATTGACTTGTTGCATCCCACACATGCCCTGAGTGTGGATCAAAACCACATCCTAGGTATGTGCCCTGACAGGAATCAAATCCACCACCTTTTGGTGTATGGGGTGATGTTCCAACCAACTTAGCCATACTGGCCAGGGCAGGAAATGGTAATTTTTAATCTAAATGGTGAGTAGGTGGGTAATCACTGTACAGGTCTTTCTAGTTTTACATATATGTTCAAAATTTTTCATGATAAAATGTTGGGGGTGGGGAGTAATGGATATATGGCTCACTCTGTTGAAATTTATTTCAAAGAGGATATAACTGGCTTGATCTAACCATGCCAGTTAGTTTTGTTCTAATTATTTATTTGTACTGGCCAGCCAGCTACCTCACTTATTAATTATACTTGTTGAATGAATAGCATGATAAAGTAATATGCCTTTAACTTTGTAGTGTAGATTTGATGGTTTTGGAATGTACTTTCTTCGCAAAGTTTTCATTAAGTGGAAAAATATTAACCCTAGCAATAGTATATCAGCTTCTATACAACTTAAATATAATTTTGGGTAATGAATTGCAGACTAACAAAAAATACTGAAACAGTAAATACTGAAACCACTATGATATCATTGTAATTAGCTAGTTATTAATAATAGGAAAGGAACAAAGGGGAAAACCAGACATTATAGGTATGTCATTTAGGCAGCTTCTCCAGGAAGCTGCAACTTTGCACTCCCCAGGGAACCACTGGTATGTTCTCTGCAAAGCACTGGTGGAAGGGGGCAGAACAAAAGGAAGATAGACACATGCCCAGTAAAGTTGGAGTGACCAGGGACTAGGAGAGGTGCTTGTCAGTAAAACCTAGGGACAGAGATAGTTGGTCAGAATGGGCATCATCACTGCAAGCCCACAAAAATTTGAGAATACATAATCCCCTAAACAAAGGAATTCTCTTTCTTGTTGCACTTGACTCTTGGCTTGTGCTTCCTTTTGCTCCTGCTTCCTTGTATTCGCCCTATGGTCCACAGCCATGTGGACCCCATATATAATGGACAAATGGACTGCATTGGGAAACACAAGCTAAGCTAGCCTGATGCTGGACTTGATTCTGCTCCAATATGGAAAGGAAACTCTAGAGACTGGCCCCAGCTACACTTCTTCTATGACTGGACTAAGGGAAATGGGACTTTGGAAACTCAGGGATTTAATTCCACCCAAATAAAAGTAATTTGTTCGACAATATGAGTCTTAGATAATTTTTTCTTGGGATATCACAAGAAATCCAACCATACTAGCAACCGGGGAAGAGAAGATCTCTCCTGTCCTGTAACAACTAGACCAAATCATCCTGAAGAAAATTATTAGACAAAATGCTGGGGGGGCGGTGGTTGTTTTTGCTTATTCTGAAGGGCCAAATTCTGAAAACAACAACAACACCTAATATTCTGATAGTGAAAGGTGGATTGTCATTTGTTTAACATAGATATGTGTTAGAGCATGCTAGAGCTAGAAGGGATCTAATCTCATTTTATAGGTAAGCAAGTGTCCAACATTTCATGGCTTTTTGTTATAGAATCTGAGCTAGAAGCTCCTTGCCCTTTCAATTACTGTCTTCCATCATTCTCTATGGTGAGGCTATTTTACCTTTGGTTTATCTCACAGATGGTCTCAAGCTGCAGATGACCTCCAAATAGTATATGAAAATTTGACTGGCGATGTCTTGGTATCAGCAGGAGTAATAGCCTACCTTGGTGCTTTTACTTCTGGCTTTCGACAAACATGTACAGAAAATTGGAGCATGTTGTGCAAGGTAGTGGTTTTATATTTCATAAGTTTCTTTTTAGATCATTCAAAGAATAAGTTGGGATATTTTGGGGGGAAAGATGATAATAAGGACAGAGAAGTGAAGAAATAACTGAAAATATAAGGTCTTTTTTTCCTTCTTGTTGGATCAGTAAAGTACTTCCATAGTATAACTTTCTCTTTTTTCTTCTTCTTCTAATATATTTTATTTTTTACTTTCTTTTTTCAATTTTTAAAATTGTTCAATTACAGTTGATATTCAATATTACAATAGTTTCAAGTGAACAACATAGTGGTTAGATATTTATATAACTTACAGGTGATCCCTGCAATAAGCCTAGTACCTCCTTGACACATGGTTATTACTATACTAGAGGCCTGATGCATGAAATTCATGCAAGAGTAGGCCTTTGCAGCTGGGCCTCGATCCCTCGCAGCTGTGGCGGCTGCCTCGATCCCACAGCTGCAGCCCCGGCTTCTTCCAGAAGGTCATCCGGAAGGACGTCTGGATGGTCGTTCTGCTGTTTGGCCGTTCAGTCGATTTGCATATTACACTTTTATTATTATAGATTACTGACTATAGTCCCTATGCTGTGCTTTATATTCCTGTGATAGTCCAACTTTCAATTCAGGTGTTTTTTTTTCTGTTCCTTATAGTTATTAAATAATATCTAATGACAAATCAATATTTTAATTTGAAAAATATTTTGATCAACAAGATGAAAGAAAATATCAGATATTTGTTTATTTCTTACAGGAGAAAAAATTCCCATGTTCAGAGGAGTTCTCATTGAGTAAGACCCTGGGTGATCCAGTAAAAATTAGAGCTTGGAATATTGCTGGATTACCAACAGATACTTTCTCCATAGATAATGGAGTGATTGTTAATAACTCCAGGCGTTGGTAAGGAACATAAAATATATTTATTTTTCAGTAATTTTATTTGAAAGTTGTTTCCAACATAGAGAAAGATTGCAAAGATTTTAGAGTAAGTACCCACATAACTACCACCTCCTAGATCCTAAATTAACATTTCATTTTTCTTGATTTTTTATCTAATATTTATCCATCCCTCTATCCATTCGTCAAATCATCCTTTTTTATGCGTTTCAAAATAAGTTGAAGAAATGGATGTACTTTCCCTAATACTTCATCCATGTATATCATAAACTAAAGTTCAATATTATGTATGCTTTTTTCTTTTAAGGTAAAATTAGCATTAAATGTAATACCTAATATTTAAGAACACCATTCCATGAGTTCTTTAAAAAGTGTATACAAAAGTGTGCACTTATACAATCCAAACCTCTGTCAAGATACAGAACATGACTTCCAGGAAGTTCTCTTATGTCCCTTCTCAGTAAATCCTCATCCTCACCCCACCATAGGAAATTATTATTCTGATTATTTTCCACCATAGATTACTTTTGACTGTTCTAGAACTTCATATAAACAAATCATACTGTACATACTCTTTTGTGCAAGGTTTCTTCTACAACCATGATGTGCCTATTTTTTGTTGCTGAGTGGTATTGCATTGTATGAATGTATCACTGTTTATGCATTCTCCTGTTGATGGGCACCTGGGCTATTTCTAGCTTTTGGCTATTCAGTGTATTTATTTTAACTAGGTATTTATGTCCATTTTCAAGATACTATAATTTATGCAGTTTCATGGATACCTTTTAAAATTACTATCAATAGTGTGATAATTATATGAATATTCCAAATGGTTTTTATTGTTATCCTTTCATTTATATTACTTTGGAAAATTACTCTCATCTGAGAAATAGTTTCCTATAAATGCTTATTCAGTCATGTTGTCATCTAATTTTAAAAGTCTTCTCTTGGGACCATATCTCAAACCTACTGTTAGGTACTACTGAGCTCTTACATTCATGAGGTACTGTTGTAAGTGCCCTATGTTCTCACAAACTCCTGAGTTAGGTGTTATTATTATTCCATTTTACAGATGAGGAAATTTAGACCCAGAGTCATTTAGTAATTTGAAAGTTAGTAAGATAACTGAGCTAATGAATGGTGGAGTTAGAATTTTAACCCAGGCAATTTAACTTCCAATTCTTAATCACTATGTTAAGTAAAATGTGGAATAGGATATCACATTCACGATCGTTAAAAATGAAGCTCTGCCAGTGTGGCTCAGCAGTTGAGCATCAACCCAGGAACCAAGAGGTCATCAGTTTGATTCCTGGTCAGAGCACATGCCCAGGTTGTGGGCTCTATCCCCAGTAGGGGGTGTGCAGGAGGCAGCCAATCAGTGATGTTTCTCTCTCATCGATGTTTCTATCTCTATATTCCTCTTCCTTCCTCTCTCTCTAAAAATCAATAAAAACATATTAAAACTATCATGGAAATTTCAGTTTTCTTTTGGAATATAAGATACATTAAAGTTGCATTACAAATCAGTGAGGAAGGCCCAACCGTTGTGGCTCAGTGGTTGAGTGTCAGCCTATGAACCAGGAGGTCACGGTTCAATTCCAAGTCAGGGCATATACCGGGTTGTGGGGTCGATTCCCAGTGTGGGGCATGCAGGAGGCAGATGATCAATGATTCTCTCTCATCACTGATGTTTCTATCTCTCTCTCCCTCTCTCTTCCTTTCTGAAATCAATAAAAGTATATTAAAAATGAAACAAATCAGTGAGGAAGGATAGGTAACTAAATAAACAGTGCTGATGTAAATGACTATCATTATAAAAAAATAAATTAAATCCTTACCTTTCATCACAAGCACCTGAATGCCCCTGATACAGAGGGGGTCTCTCTCTACATTTTTACTCTTCCTGGTTGTACTCTGTGCTTGTTTTGGGGGCAGAGTGGGACTCTGTTATTCTGGTTCTTAGTCTTAGGAAGGCCCTTGTGCAGGCTAGGACTTTTTCAGCCTTTCTTCCCCTCCTTCCTATGACTGCTTAATTCTGCCTTCTACCTATGGTTGGTCTTGAACAGGAGTTTCCCACCCTTCTCCTAGGGTGAGAGATCTCTACTTGGTAAAGGTTGGTAAAAGTATAATGTTTTTAGCCCAAGACATTTTTCTGCCCAATACTCCCACCCCAACCCTGGGATTAAGTTTTTCTTTTGCTCTTGCTCAAGCTACAATGTGTGTTTTGTCCTTACTTCTTCCAGGATTCCCAGGCATAATTTTGGCCCAATACATGTTAATTTCCCAGCTTGGAGTTTCCTAGGTTACATAGATAGTGTAAACTTGCATCCTATACCTGCATGAAATGTAGACCCATGGTTACAGATTCTCAGGGGACTTTTTCCCAGCTGGAGATGAGACAGACATCAAAACACTTCCTTCTTGTCTCCTTATGCATAGAGTTGGGATTTTTTTCTATCTATGATTTCACTAACCTTTTGTGGGTTTAAGCTTAATACAGGGCTCTCAGTTCTAGCTTCTTGCTACATATGGCTCAAGGCATCTGTAAGGTTATTAGAATTGACACTCTTCAAGGCTAGCTACCATTTCAGCTCACACAATTACTGTTCTGGAATTCTTTTGTCTGTGTTTCTGGCACCTGTGTTTTTCTGGATGTTTGTATTATGTGTGTATGTATCTCTTAAATGCATGTCAACTATTTATTTTTAAAATTCTATATTTTATCTACTAGTGAATAAATTAAACTAGGTGGCTGGAGGATTTTTAGATTACTTTGCTAATCAGGTTGCTAGAACCATAGCTTATAGTTAATCAGTCCTTGTTTTGCTTGCTCATAATTTCTAGAAGTTTGTCTGTTTATAGTATTGTGCAATGGTTGAGAGCAGTGCAGATACTGGTGTCAGGCTATTTGGATTCCAATTTTTCTCTATCGCTTTCTATCTTGAGATTTTGGTAACTTAATTGACCTCTCAGTGCCTCAGGTGCCCCAACTGTAAATGAAGATAATAATTTCTTCCTCATAGGAATGTTGTGAGAAAGTGCTTGAATATAAGTGCTCAATAAATGTTAATTTTTTAATAATTATCATCTTCAAATACTTCATTTAGTGTCTATATCTCAAATTCTGACTTGCTTATTTTTTAACCATGATGAAAATACTATGCTGCTTCACTATTGTTTATTAACTTAACAGTAAAGCTTATTTTCCCCAGAATTACTACCTCTGTCAGAATAGATGGATAATGCTTTTTTCTTCAGACTGTTCAAGGATTTCAAATGTAGATGAGAATTATTTTCATACCTATAATAAGGTACACTTGGATTACAAATACCATGGCATGGTCTTATCTCTCTGATGGACACAACTCAATTTTCTAGATATATTTGTAACTAGAGGCCCGGTGCATGAAATTCATACATGGGGCGGGGTGTCCCTCAGCCCAGCCTGCACCCTCTCCAATCTGGGACCCCTTGGGGGATGTCCAACTGCCAGACATCCCTCTCGCAATCCTGGACTGCTGGCTTCTAACTGCTCACCTGCCTGCCTGTCTGATTGCCCCTAACCACTTTGCCTGCTGGCCTGATTGCCCCTAACTGCTCTCCCCTGCTGGCCTGACCTCCCCTAACTGCTCTCCCCTGCCGGCCTGATCACCCCTAACTGCCTCTGCCTCGGCCACCGCCACCATGGCTTTGTCCGGAAGGACGTCCGGAAGGATGTTCGGAAGACATCCAGTCTAATTAGCATATTACCCTTTTATTAGTATAGATACTTACATAAAGTTATGTTAAGTGGGAATTGGATTTGTTTTAAAATAAAAAAGAATCTCTATTGCAATTCTAAGAACATTGATTTAGGCATTACTAAGAATATTGACTAGCATTGAAATGTTAATTTACAGAAATTGTTACTTTTTGCAATGGAAAGAACAAATACTGTGTTTTTCCAATCATAAGCATATACTGAATAAGGAAGAAAAAAGTCTATTTAAATAGGACCTTGATGCATTTAGTTTAATTACTAGGCAACTTTTAAGCAGTTGTATGTAAAATAACTTTCTCAGTTTCAGAACTTGTTTCCTCTGTTTGCTATGATATTAAAAGTAAATTTTGACTAGTCTCTGGACCTTTTGGGGCTTTCAGTAGGATTTCAGTACAATTTGAGCTGAGGAAGCTGGCAGCTGAATTGGGTTGCTTTGTCTTTTGGAAAGGAAATAGAACAGAGATATCTGGGAGTAGTTTATTAAAGAGCTTATTTATAGGAAAAGAGAAAGAAGATTTTATCCCTACAAGCTGTTAAAATGGAAAGAGACTGTCTGAGAAAGCCAAATTGACATGGGATGAAAACTCCCCTTTCTGTGCTTTTTTTTTTTTTTTAATTTATTTTAGAGTGAGAAGAAGGGAAAGGGAGAGAAACATTACTGGCTGCCTCCTTCATGCCCCCTGCTGGGGATCAAGCCCACATCCCAGGAATGTGCCCTGACTGGGAATCTGACCAGTGACCTTTTGGTGCATGAGATGACGCTCAACCAACTGAGCCAACTGGCCAGGACTGTGTTAATATTTTTAAAGATAATTTAATGCACTGTGCTGAAGACAGCATTATCACTGAGGAAGAAGAAAGCACACCATGAATCATGTATTCTTGAATATAGTCTTTATCATACTTACATAGAAAAAATTCTAAATAGATCTCATATATTGGACTAAACTTGGGAATTTAGTTTATGACTCTATTGATACCCTGAAGAAATCCATTATAGACTAGTAGATCTCTTTAAATTTTTATCAAATAAGTAGAATTATTTTTCACATTATTTTAACAGATCTCATGTATTAAAATTACCTTGAAGATGATATGTTATATTGGGAAGAGCACAGCTTACAGGTTCACAAGATCCTACTTCTGACATTGAAGTAATTTTTTATCCATGGAACCTTGGTCAAAGTGCTCCCTGAGACTGAATTTCTTCATTTCAAAAATAAATAAGATTAAAACTCCTTTTTTACTCTTTTATCACAGGACTTTTGTGAAGATTAATCCTGATAATATTTATGAAACACAAATTGATGGTGATGTTTATTATTTAAATTATATAATTTTAAAGAAATATGAATGTCTATTTATTCCCCTCAGAATTTTTCTTATTATATTTTAGGCCTTTAATGATTGACCCCCAGGGTCAAGCCAATAAGTGGATCAAAAACTCTGAGAAAGATAATCAGCTTAGTGTTATTAAGCTGTCAGATTCAGACTATATGAGAACACTGGAAAACTGTATTCAGTTTGGAACTCCGCTTCTGTTAGAGAATGTTGGCGAAGAACTGGACCCATCTTTGGAGCCTTTACTACTTAGACAAACTTTTAAACAAGGTAGAAGTCAATTAATATTAATTGAACTGAAAGATGATTGTTATCTTTGAGGCTTATCTTTGAGGAAGGAAAACCACCACATACATTTAATAATGAGGTTAATAACTCTGAACTTCTGTATCATTGTTATGTATGAAATGAAATTTGGAACAAGTATTAAGAATGAACTTTGCCCTCCCTTCTTTGCCTTAATCACTGTTATCTGCACTGTTGTTCAGTAAAGAACATAAAAAAGTTTAAAGTAGCCTGAAATTCCTTTATCGTGTGATGGTGGACCACACAAAGTCCATTATTAGAAATAGTAATGGTTAATGTGGACCATGTGAGTAAACATTGCCCATCTCATATTTTTTCTGCTTATAAAAAAGTTATCTCTGCCAAACTCTAGTACTTTTAAGAGCTTTAGTCATATACAAATAACTTTGGAATCATGATTGAAAATCGATAGAGGTTCCATTGTATAATGGTCAGTACTCTGGATTCTGAAAATGGAGAGAGGAAGTAACATCAAGAGGAATCTTCATTTAGAAGGCTTCATGACCAGAGAAAATGTCTTATACTACCCAAGAATGAATAGTCCTGCTGTATAACTGTTTACTTTCCTCTGTGTCTGTGACTTTTGTCACATCTGTATTCTCCTTTAAATTACTAGTAACCTGGGAAAGGTCTTAACACAGGGGGAGGGTTTATGCAACTTTGGCTTACTGACTATTCGTTTGTTTTCTGAAATACAGGTGGCATTGATTGTATCAGGCTTGGTGAAGTCATTATTGAGTATTCCTTTGATTTCAAGTTTTACATCACCACAAAACTGAGAAATCCACACTATATGCCAGAGCTAGCTACAAAACTGTCTTTGCTCAATTTCATGATAACTCCAGAAGGACTTGAAGATCAGTTATTAGGTATTGTTGTCGCAAAGGAGAGGTATGTATTTTCTTAGCTGCTTCCAGATTGCCTAGAGAGAAATATTTGTAGGCCATTAATACTTTTATTATGTGATTATTTCAAAACCTTGTCAAATTTTATATCTTGTTATTATAAATTAAATAATTATATAATCCTTTAAAATAGCCATTTTATAACAAGCAAGTTATAAATCAACCATGTTATATTGGGCTCTTAATATGGGTAGTAAGATTCAAGTGACATGCCATAATTTCTGACTTCTGATTGTTTGAGCCAAAAAATTTCACCCTAAGAATTCTATGGATAAAATCAGAAATGTGTTCAAATACATATACAGAATATTAATAAGAAGGTACTTAGGATAAGAACAAAAAAATAGGATACTGAGAGAGACCAAGATGGCGGCATAGGTAAACACCGGAGACTGCTGCCGCAAACAACCACTTCAAAAATACAACTAAAAGACGGAACGGACATCACCCAGAACCACAGGAAGGCTGGCTGAGGAGAGACTCTTCAACTAGAAGGAAAAATAACAGCACACCGAGGCTCAGAGGAGGCGCAGTGTGGAAAAAACTCAGGTGCGGAGGTGCGCGCGCAAAGCGGGCTGGTGGCTGAGAGCGCGGTTGTCGTTTTCGGTCAGGGGGGAGTCTCAGACTCTGAGCTCCAGATACGGGCGAATCGCTGGGGACTCGGACCCAAACGGGAGAAGCGGGAGTGTCTGGCATCAGTTGGAAGGCAGCTTTCCCTCCGAGGTTTGCAGCGGTTCCGGGGGTTCTGAGAAGCAGAGCCTCTGGGAACGGGACTGAGAGGGGCCATAACCACTCCCTCCGCCCGCCCTGTTGAGCCCGCCCCGCCCAAGCCCTGCGCAGAGCCATTTGCCAGATCGCCGCAGGCAAAGGCTAGATTAGCACCTCCCCAGAGGACAGAAGTTTTCCGCGGCAGACACAGCTGATTCACACAGCCAGTCGGCCTGGTGGTCAAATCCCTCTAGTATTAACTACAACAATCAAGGCTCAACTAGAACAAGACTGCGCACAAAGACCACTAGGGGGTGCACCAAGAAAGCATAAAAAATGCGGAGACAAAAAAACATGACAGAAATGGAGGATATAGAGCTAAAAAACGCAATTTTGAGGGCTTGCAATAAACTTTTGGAGAGCCTCACGAAAACTAATGAGACCCTCGATGCTATGATAAAGAAACTAGAAATTAAGCATACACGCTCTGAAATAAAGAATATTACACCCAATAGCAGACCAGAGGAGCGCAAGAATCAAGCCAAAGATTTGAAATGCGAAGAAGCAAAAAACACCCAACCGGAAAAGCAAAATGAAAAAAGAATCCGAAAATACGAAGATAGTGTAAGGAGCCTCTGGGACAGCTTCAAGCGTACAAACATCAGAATAATTGGGGTGCCAGAAGATGAGAGACAGCAAGATATTGAAAACCTATTTGAAGAAATAATGGCAGAAAACTTCCCCCACCTGGTGAAAGAAATGGACTTACAGGTCCAAGAAGCGCAGAGAACCCCAAACAAAAGGAATCCAAAGAGGACCACACCAAGACACATCATAATTAAAATGCCAAGAGCAAAAGACAAAGAGAGAATCTTAAAAGCAGCAAGAGAAAGAAACTCAGTTACCTACAAGGGAATACCCATACGACTGTCAGCTGATTTCTCAACAGAAACTTTGCAGGCCAGAAGGGAATGGCAAGAAATATTCAAAGTGCTGAATACCAAGAACCTACAACCAAGAATACTTTATCCAGCAAAGCTATCATTCAGAATTGAAGGTCAGATAAAGAGCTTCACAGATAAGGAAAAGCTAAAGGAGTTCATCACCACTAAACCAGTATTATACGAAATGCTGAAAGGTATCCTTTAAGAAGAGGAAGAAGAAAAAGGTAAAGATACAAATTGTGAACAACAAACATGCATCTATCAACAAGTGAATCTAAGAACCAAGTGAATAAATAATCTGATGTACAGAATGAACTCAATAAAGATTTAATTAAAAAAATAAATAAATAAATAAATAAATAAAAAATATACTACTAAACTATATACAGTTTGGGTAATATTTTGTAAAAACAAAAGTTAATGATGAATGCAGGGAAATGAATGCAGGTAAATACACCAGAAGAAATAAATAAATAAATAAATAAAAAATAGGATACTAAACTATATACAGTTTGGGTAATATTTTGTAAAAACAAAAGTTAATGATGAATGCAGGGAAATGAATGCAGGTAAAGATTACACCAGAATATTAACTGTGATCATCCCTCAAATGCTAAGATTATGGGTAATTATTACTATTTTCTTCATAATTGATGTATTTTTTATTAATAGCATATGTTATTATTTAAATGAGAAAAATATATGTGGAGAGGCTAATGGTAAATAATTGCTTCCTGGGGGGAGAACCAAGATGGCTGTGTAGTTAAATGCCTACTTGCCACCTCCCACAACCACATCAAGATTACAACTAAATACAGAACAACCATCATTCAGAACCACTTGAAATATGGCTGAATGGCAGTCCTATAAATAGAGAAGTAAGGAAGGAAGCACATTGGTAGGGGGTGTGGGGGAGCAGAACAGGCTGGTCCTACACCCACATGAGACGTTGTTTTAATCGGGAGGGATATCTTGGCTGTGGAGGCCTTCCAGAGGAACAAAGGATCCTAGCCCCACACCAGACCCCTCAGCCCAAGGTGCCAGAGCTTGGAATAGAAGTCCCTATAACTTTGGGTAAAAACCAGTGGTGTTTATGGCTGAGTGACACAGAGGCTGCTGGAGACCCAGGCAGTTCCTCTTAAAGGGCTGGTGCACAAACTTACATGAACTTGTTCCCTCTGAGGTCCAGTGCTGAGGCAGCAGCTTGGGGGGATCCAGGGACATACAGGTAAGAATTGAATTGTCTGGCATCGGAGCAAGAACTCAGGGGTGGCTTTCTCCCAGACAGAGGTGCTCAGAGGGGTCATAGTTCCTATGCTGAGACCTCCACTGTTGCAGAGCTAACTGGCAGCCATATCTGAGTTTCCATCAGCCTGGCTCACACTGTCCACTCCACCCTGAAACCCTTCCCCATCCAATTTGCAGCCCCACCCAAGCTGTGGGCAGCAGCTTTTCCATATAAATGGCTTGTCCTGGCTCAGGCTTCAGACCTTCATAAAATCTCTCAAACAAGCAGCATCTGGCATCAGCATGCTCCATACATATCAATCAGAGGCCCAAGAACCGACACAGCTGGTCCTCACAGCCAATCGGCCTGGAGGTCAATTCCTCCCAGTGACTCCAACAGCAGTCAAAGCTCAACTACAACAAGACTGTACACACAGGCCTCACAGGGATGCATCTAAAGGGCCCATCCCTGGTGACTGGGGAGGTTGAGCCACTGGGCCCTATAGGACACCTACTTCACAAGGCTACTCTACCAAGTCCTGGAGACAAAGCAGCTCTACCTAATACATAGAAACAAACACAGGGAAGCAGCCAAAATGCAGAGACAAAGAAACATGTCACAAACGAAAGAACAGAAGGAATCTCCAGGAAAAGTACTAAATGAAATGGAAGCAAACAAACTACTAGCTACAGAGTTTAAAACAATGGTTATAAGGATGATCAAGGATCTTAATGAGAGCTTCAAGGGACTTAGTGAGACTTTCAAGGTTCTTAGTGAGAATGTCAGACATGAAAAAGGGCCAGTCAGAAATTAAGCATACACTAATTGAAATAAAGAATAATTTACAGAAATTCAACAGTAGAGTAGAAAATTCTGAGAATCAAATCAATGATTTCGAATATGAGGAAACAAAATACACTCAATCAGAAGAGCAAAAAGAACAAAGAATCCAAAAATATGAAGATAGTATAAGGAGTCTCTGGGAAAACTTCAAGCACACCAACATTCACACAGTGGGGGTGCTAGAAGGAGAAGAGAGAACAAGATATTGAAAACCTATTTGAAGAAATAATGACAGAAAACTTCCCCTACCTGGTGAAAGAAATCGACTTAACACGTCCAGGAAGCACAGAGAGTCCCAAACAAGAGGAACCCAAAGAGACTCACACCAAAACACATCATAATTAAAAAGCCAGAAGTTAAAGACAAAGAGAGAATTTTTTTCAGGTTACTCTTCTGATTTTCTCTCTCTCTCTTTTTTAATCTTTATTGTTGAAAGTATTACATATGTCCCTCTTTCTCCCCGATTAGTCCCCTCCAGCCTCCCCTGCCCCCACCCCAGAGCCAGTTGTACAATAAGTGGTCCTTTTTATATCTGCTATTTTAGAAGAAACAATGAAAGTTAGATGGAATATGACAATGCCAAGGAATAAATAAGAAATTTCATCTCCAGTTCTTTTTTAAAAATTTATCTTTATTATTGAAAGTATTACAGATGTCCCCCACTCCCCCACTGACTTTTTTCACCCAGCTCCTGTCCCCTCCCTAGGCCTTCCCCGCACTGTTGTCTGCCCATTTGCATATATGCATATAAGTTCATTGGTTAATATCTTCATACTCACTCCCCCCTTCCCTCTGAAATATGTCAGCCTGTTGCATGCGTCAATGTCTCTGGATTTTTTTTTTTTGTTCATCAGTTTATTTTTTCATTAGGTCTTCTCCAGTTCTTATTCTCACAAAACTGGCTACACCATATGGATAAACTTATTATATTCTTAGACTCACCACAGTACATGTTATTGCTTTTTTGCTTGAATTTCTCAAATTATTATTTGAATGGAAGTAATTTTAGGTTAGGATTAAGAGATTAATCACCTTAGTTAGTGTTACATGTCTACAAAATTATTTAAGTGTCTATAATATTGTGGTGTCTAATGTTTAAATATGAATTTAGATAAAATACTACAAATTTAGACTACATGTTTTTATCTTTTAGACCAGAATTAGAAGAGGAAAGAAATGCTCTTATTCTTCAGTCTGCAGCTAATAAGAAACAGCTAAAAGATATAGAGAAAAGAATTTTGGAAACATTATCATCTTCAGAAGGGAACATTTTAGAAGATGAAAGTGCAATTAAAGTCTTAGACTCTGCTAAAATGATGTCCAATGAGATAACAAAGAAACAGCAGGTGAAAAAATAATCCTAGAAATCTTTTGATTCTTAACAATTTTCTCCGGGTGCCTTAAGAAAATGCTATACTAGACTTACTGGGAAAGGAAAAGAATTCATAAAAATACAAAAAAAGAAACTAATTTTTAACTCACAAAGTATTTCTTAGTGTTGAATTATTCAAATCCTGTTCAGACTTGTATAGTATTTTACATAGAGAAATAAATTTAAAATGAAAGTTTTAAAAATTCATGACAAAATATACACATTTTAGAAATCTGTACTTTTTTCAAATACTGAATGCCTTATTTTTGAATTCTTTAGATTTTTAAATTGGAGAAAAGCACTTAAAGTTTTTTATATATGAATATTACATGTAAAGCTGTTAAAATACATAAAATATATTTTTATTATTGCATAGGTAAGGCAAGCTAGTCTGTTTCATTCAAATGTAACTGACTGTCACCTAAAAACTGAGAATTTGGCTTGCCTCTGTTTCTGGTTGAAGTGGGGAGGTAATTGCTGACTAATTGGACATTAAGTGGTTTTAGGAACTAATAAGGATGCTTTTCTGCCATTGCCTGGTCATTTGCTCATCAAGGAGAAAGGTATGAGAGTTAGGAGTGGCAGGTGAAGGAAGAAAGACAAGAGATCTACAACGAATAAAGTATTTATTACAAATTTTATCTATGACAGCCAAATGGTAATTTCATATTGTATATTTTTAATAGAATCCTACAGAATTATAGGTAGATATGCCTTAGCTGTCAGTTATTTTTTATATTTGATAGTTAAGAAAACTAGGGTCCCGAAACAGTAGTTGAAGCCCAAGTTCACACAATAAAATGATATTACAGAATGACTTCTATAGGCTAACGTTATTGATTTACTTTTGATCCTCCTTGGCCCACCCAGTGAATCAAGCACATCTTAATATTAGGATAACTTTAAAAAAAATTTAAACCTAAATAGAAATTGCACTAATTGTTCAGTACTCTTCTGCTGTTTCCTACCCCATGCACCTCTAATCTAGAGGACTTATTCAAAGACTTAGGCACACTTTCCCTTGGGATGGGTTTAGTTTTGTGTGACAGTGATGGTAATGACTGTCAGTTCAGATGTACTGTTTTTCTTTATTGTTGTTTTTGAGATTTTGTGGGGGTTTTTTGCTTGTTTTTATTTTAGAAGAGCCAAAAGAATACTATCTTAAAGTAATATCCTATGGCAGCTCCCCATGGGGACCATGGCTGAGGTATTCTATAATGTCTCCCTTCTTTCCCTGTTCATCAAAGCAGAACCAACTTATTGTCTCCTCACTACACTGTTTGTTCAAAGGGGAGAAAGGATAAGAAGAATTTATCAGTTTATTTCCTATTAAGATTCCAAGAGGGAAAGAGATATAAGTATTTATTGGTTCCAGAATTTTATCTTACAAAGAGAAAGAAATTTAAGAAATCATGTCTTTCTGGCTGGGTCCCCTGATGGATGAAAAAATAGGTTTTAAATAACAGGTTTAAATGGGAATACTAAGATTATGCTCTCTTATGTAAAATGTCATTAATTTCCATTGTTGATAACTTTGTTTTACTTTTTTATAGTCAAAATTGAGGTTTAAAACTTACTTTTAATTGTGGTTAATACTGTGTAATTTTAGGGAAAGTTTGTTTGCAAGAAAGAGAAACCCACTCAAATTAAAAATATGCAAGAGGATATTTTATTTTCCCAATTATACAAAGTATGTACAAGACTCAGGAATAAACGGAAAGCATTGAGTTTCTATGATCTCTGTCTCTTCCCCTCTCTCCAATTTGTGTTGTTCTCTCTATTCCACTTGAAGACCAATTTCTTCTGTAAAACTTTTGTGTCTGTTTCCTCCTACATTTATCTGGCCTATAGAAAACGACTTTGGTCCCATTACCTTTTAGCACTGATGCCCAGTACCACCTGACTTCATTTTCTGAGGCTCGTAAAGGGTGAAACATTTGGAGAGAAAATTGCTTAACTTATTTTGGGCCTTATTCTATTCATACCACCTGATTGAATCAGCTACAAATGGGATCATCCTATATAATAAAAGGCTAATATGCAAATCGACCTAACAGCCAAAAGACCGGTCATTATGATGTGCACTGACCACCAGGGGGCTGACGCTCAATGCAGGAGCTGCCTCCTGGTGGTCAGTGCGCTCCCAGAGGGGGAGCATCGCTCAGCCAGAAGCCGGGCTCATGGCTGACGAGCACAGTGGTGGTGATGGGAGCCTCTCCCACCTCCGCAGCAGCTAAGGACCCCTGGGGGATGTCTGGCGAGGGGTCCCAGACTGCGAGAGGGTGCAGGCTGGGCTGAGTGGGGCCCCCCCCCCCCCGCAAGTGCATGAATGTTGTGTACAAGGCCTCTAGTTCAATATAAACATGACTACATAGGCATACTTATTGAACAGAGTCTGTGGCTAGTATTTCCAAAGAGGGAAAGTGGGTTGTAAAAATGTTCTACACATTTTTCCTGTAGAATATTAACCTATCAGATTGAGTTGTCAATTGAAGAGCTGTTATCTTGGAGAAATTTTTCTCTTTTGGAGTTGAATATCTACACCCCTATTAGTCTAGAAAAGTTAAACATATCAGGAGCTAGTTGAAAAAAAAAGTATTCTTAATGTATAAAACCATCAGCCAACAAATATTTCTGAATACCTACTCTGCCCCAAACTTTGTGCTGGGTTCTGGTACACGTACGTGTTGGCACCTTAAACATCCACACTTTCTCTCTATCTCTCTTTCTCCCTCTCCTTCTCTATCTCTGACCTACTTAAAGAGGGTGTATGACTGTAGTAGACACATGTAAGATTCTGGCAAAAAAAATAAGCAAAGATTGACAGCTGTGGTATTTCTCAAATAAGAGATGGTTGGTGAGTTATCACAATTTTAATCTATAAACCTCTGGTCTTCTCCCCTCCCTCCATAGTTCTTTCTTTCCTTTCTTTCTCTTTTTGCCCTTCCCTTCCCTTCCCTTCCCTTCCTTTTTTTCCTTTCTAGCTTTTAGCATAATAAAACCCTTTCTTGTAAACTATGCTTCTATAATTTTGTCATTGAATTAAGTGGCTTTTTTTAAAACTATAAACTTAATCACATGAGAAATATAATTAAAACACATTTTTATTTTGATTTTCCTCTTCTAGATTGCAGAAAAAACAGAACTCAAAATAGCAGAGTCTCGAGAAGGATATAGACCTATTGCTAAACATTCATCAGTATTATTCTTTAGCATTGCAGACCTGGCTAACATTGATCCTATGTACCAGTACTCTCTTAGCTGGTTCGTGAACCTTTATATCAACTCTATTCATGACAGGTAATTCTCTAGCTTCATTCATACTCTCTAGGTTGGATTTTCACCATCCTTTCCATTTCTTTTTTATTACTTGTGTAATATGTAATATTCATGTGGAACATTTAAAAATATGGAAAAGTGAATGAAAGGAAGAAAGAAAGAGCAAGCTTTTCTATTTTTAGTCTTGTTTCACATTTACACAAGATTTAGACGTAAAGGGATTAGCTTTAGTCTTGTTTTTCTCTCTCTTAAATATATGGCCCGGCTATAATTCTTTGTCTCATACAGTTCCATCCCCAGCATAGATCCTCACACTAAAAAAGATTCAGTAGGGCCTGGCCGGCGTGGCTCAGCAATTGAGCATGGACCTATGAACCAGGAGGTCATGATTCAATTCTGTTTAATTCCTAGTCAGGGCACATGCTCGGGTTGCGGACTCCATCCCCTATGGTGGAGGGCATGCAGGAGGCAGCCAATCAATGATTCTCTCCCAAAATTGATGTTTCTCTCTCTCCCTTCCTCTCTGAAATAAATTTTAAAAAAATAAATTTTTAAAGATTCAGTAGGTGTGTGTTTTAATTAACTGATTGTTTCCAGTCATTTAGAGTACAATATGAAATTTAAAATTTTGAAAATAGAGAGATGGTTAAACCATATTTCATAGAATTATACCCTATTTTTTTGCATAAAGATTTACAAGAAGTTGTACACACACAAAAATTGTACAGGAAGGTTCCTATACCCTTCACCTTGTTTCTCCAGTTGTAACATCTTGCATAACTATAGTACAACTAGAGGCCCAATGCACGAAATTCGTGCAAGAGTAGGCCTTCCTTCCCCTGGCTGCTGGCACTGGCTTCCCTCTGGCACTCGGGACCCGGGCTTCCCCCGCAGCCCGGCTTCGCCCAGAAGGTCGTCCAGTCTAATTAGCATATTACACTTTTATTATTATAGATATCACAACCAGGAAATTTATTGATACAATTCAGAGAGCTTATTCAGATTTCATCAGTTTTACATACATGTGTGTGTGTGTGTGTGTGTGTGTGTGTGTGTGTGTGTGTGTAGTATATTTTTAACAGTGGGTACTTCAGTAAAATAAAAACAACTTGCATGTTAATTCATATTTTACTTACTTTTATCTTAGTTTTGTTTGACTAAACATATTTTTCTTTTTTAAAACCTTTTAGTAACAGATCAAAAATCTTGGAAAAGCGCCTCCGATATTTAAATGACCACTTCACATACAACTTATATTGTAATATATGCCGATCACTATTTGAGAAGGACAAGCTGTTGTTTTCCTTTTTATTATGTGCGAATCTCCTTCTGTAAGTTACTTGCTTTTTCTTTGTTTTAAAAGCCTGCTTGGAATACCTAATATCTAAAGATGACTGCTGTGCTTAATTCATGATTTTACCTGTATATTTCTCTATAATAGTATTAGTGTTTTTATGTTTATTTGATTTTTAAATTTAAGATCACACAGAACATTTATAAAACATTCATGCACAGTTCAATAAATTCTTTTTAAAAAATCTTTATTGTTGAGAGTATTACAGGTGTCCCCCTTTTTCCCCCTACTCCCCACCTCAACCCGGTTCCTGCCATGCACCAAGCCCTCACCACTAATCTGCTTTCTGTCTCCATAGTTTTTCCTATTCTAGAAATTTTATCAATGAGACATTGTATGGCCCAGAAGGTGGTCTCTTTTTGAATGTTTATGTACTCTTGCAAAGCATGTGTATTTTACTGTTCTGAGATGGAATTTCTAAAAAGGCAAGTAGGTCAAGCTGGTCTATATATCTTCTATATCCTTATTGATTTTCTGTCTACCAGTTTAAGCAGTTATTGAGAAAGGTTTGGAATTTCTACAGAGATTTTTCCTTGTGGTTCTGTCAATAGTGCTATGTGTTTTGATCCTATTATTGGATATTTAGGACTGTCATATCCTCTTAATGAATTGACTTGGCCTTTTAAAAAAAAAAATCCCTGGTAATGCCCTTTGCTCTGAAATATACTTTTAGTATAGCCTCTCCAGCTTTATTTTGAATACTGATAGCATGGTATATATATTTTGCATACTTTTAAAAAAATATTTTTTATTGAGTTCAGAGAGGAAGGGAGAAGGAGAGATAGAAACATCAAATGATGAGAAAGAATTATTGATTGGCTGCCTCCTGCAAGCCCCCTAGTGGGGATCAAGCCCACAACCCTGGCATGTGCCTCACTTAGGAATCAAACTGTGACCTCATAGTTCATAGGTCCATGCTCAACCACTGAGCCACACCAACTGGGCTATATGTTTAAGCTATTTGTACCTTTATACTTAAACTGTATTTCTGTAGACAGCACGTAGTTAGGTCTTGCTTGTTTTATCCAATATGATAATTACTAGCTTTAGGGAAATTGCTTAGACCATTTTCATTCAATGAGATAATAGAGTTATGTTTAAATCTATCATCTTACAATTTGTTTTCTGTTTTGCTCATCTGTTCTTTGTCCCACATTTCCTCATTTTCTGCTTTTCTTTTAATTGCATATTTTTTATTATTTGATTTTATCTTCTTTGTTGATTTACTAGCTATGGTTTTTGTTTTATTCTTTCAGTGATTTCTTTAGGATTATAGTGCACTTCTTAACTTTTCACTGTCTATCTCAGGTAAAACTATATATGTAATGTCATATATTTTACTTGTACATGTGTTATAAATCTCACAATACATTGTTATTTTGTGCTTTAAATAATCTATTATCTTTTAAGGATACTTAAAAAGAAAAAAAGCCATTTATGTTTACCCATATATTTACCATATCTGGAGCTTTGTATTCTTTTATGTATATCCAAATTTCCATTTACCTGAAACTTTAACATTCTTATAGTGTAGGTCTACTAGTAATGAATCCTCTCAAGTTCTGTACATCTGAGGGAAAGGGAATCAGTTAAATTTTTAGATTTTGTATTTTTTATGACTAGAAATTTCATTTATTAGGTCTGCGCCAACAGGAGCCAGGGCAGGCGATGTTGTGAGAGTTTAAGAAATCCTATATAATAAAAGCCTAGTATGCAAATCAACTGAACAGTGGAATGACCGGTGAAACAACCAGTCACTATGACGTGCACTGACCACCAGGGGCAGATGCTCAACACAGGACCTGTCCCCAGCCCTCAGGCCCCAGGCCAGCCAAGGCAGGTGCCAGTGGGGACCCCCTACCCCCAGTCGCCCCACCAGTCGCCCCGCAGATCAGCCCTGATCACCGGCCAGGCCTAGGGACCCTACCCATGCACAAATTTGATGCACCGGGCCTCTAGTGTTACTCCATTCTCTCACAGCAGGCTGAGACCTGAATATTGGTGTAAGAGTAGGGAGAGTGGGATCTTTATGAGAGGCGGGAGGTGCAGGAAGGGGCCAACTGTGGGTGGTCCACTGGAAACTGGGTGAGGCAGTTTACTGGAAACTGAAAGCCATTGTCATGGCTTGCAAAACCTGAAATGAGACTAATAGGAAAACAACTGGGATGGCGAGAATCACAAGCAGGGCATAATGGAGTGCAGGGGAAAGGTAGAGAATGTGCCTAACAGTATTTGGTTATTTTCTATACAGTAAACCTCAATATAATGGACTAATTTGGGCGAGGGGGTGTCCATTAAAGCCAAAAGTCCATTATATAATAAAGTAGATTTTTTGAATGTGTATGTTAAAAAATTGACAAATTAGTTTACCTGTTTTTACTTATGCAGACACGTTTGTGTAATTAAAAGTAAGTATATATGGCCTGGCCGCAGTGGCTTAGTGATTGAGTGTCAGTGGTTGAGTGTCGACCTGTGAACCAGGAGGTCACGGCTCAATTCCAGGTCAGGACACATGCCTGGGTTGCAGGCTCCATCCCCAGTGGGGGGCATGGAGGAGGCAACTGATCAATGAGTCTCTCTCATTATTGATGTTTCTGTCTCTCTCTCCCTCTCCCTTCCTCTCTGAAATCAATAAAAATATTTTTTTAAAAAAACTATGTGGTTTAGTGCACTTTGAAACATCTGCTAGCAAGCGTTAAAACTGCCGCAAGCACTAGCTCGTTTGGTTCAGTGGATAGAGCCTTGGCCTGCGGACTGAAGGGTCTTGGGTTTGATTCCAGTCAAGGGCATGTACCTTGGTTGCAGGCTCCATCTCCAGTGCCAGGGCCACATGTAGGAGGCAACCTATCAATGTGTGTCTCTCACATCAATCAATATTTCTCTCTCTCTCTCTCCCCTTCCCTTCCACTCTCTCTAAAAATAATGGAAAAATATCCTTTTTAAGGATCAAAAAAAAATGGAAGAAAGAAACTGCTACAGAAAGTCACACCATGAGTGTGATCACATGCTAATCATTCCCGGACGTTTATGAGTGGTGACTCTTGGATTTAAATATATAGACTATATTGTAGATATGTAATATTTATTTATGTTGACAAAAGTACTACAATGTTTTTTCCAATATATGGCCTATTCACTAAAATTTGTTAAGAATAACAGTGAATTAATAACAAAAAATAACCTGTTGATTATAAGCAAATTTTGGTTAAAAGCATTTTAAAATAACAGGGTATTAATTTTCACATATGACATACAGACTGGAAATTTTGTCCGTTGAATCTCAAATCCATTAAATTGAGGTTTGAGGTTTACTGTATTGCTCTCCTCATTATATTTATGTTTCATTTTATCTCCTTCAGTATATTTATAATAGCTCTTTTAACATTTTTGTCTGCTTGTTGTATCATCACTATCTCTTCTATGTACATATTGACTCATTTTTCTCCTGCTTATGGATGTTGTGAATTTTACATTGATCAATGCTGAGTTTTTTGTATTCCTTTAAAGAGCATTAGACTTTACTTTTTCAGTCAATTAAATTACTACTGGATTAATTTTATCTTTTCAAGGCTTGTTTTTAGCTTTCTGAAGGCAGTTTTATTCTAAGGCTATGTTAGCTTCACTACTAAGGTGTGATCCCTCTGATGTTGAACTGAATTCCTCTGGTGTGAATAAAGATTCAACTCAAGTTGGCAAAAACTCATTTCTAGTTCTGTGTGAGCTCTGGTGCTGTTCAGTCTACAGCTTCCCAGAAATTCGTTGCCAGGCCTCCTGGAGTTTTACCTACTCACACACAACTTAGAATTTAGTAAACGTAGGCAGGTTTCCAAAGCTTCTTTTCCATGTATCTGCCTCCTCTCTGGTATTTTGCCCACATATTCCAGTCACCTCAGCCTTTCTTGACCCTGATAGAGATCTCTTCAGCTCAGCAATACTGCCGAGATCAGAGCTTCATCTGCTCTCTGCATTGTGGTCTGGAATGTGTATCCAGGCAGATGCTGAGGAAATCCTAAGAATCACCTTTTTTGTCTCCCTTTTTTAAGGGATCTCAGTCCTGTACTGCCTATTGTATAATTTCCAAAAACAGTTGTTTCGGGTTTTTTTTTCAGTTTTCTAGTTGTTTACAGTAGTCAGGGAAGTCACTTCTGTTTATTTTATCCAAGTTATAGAAGCAGAAATTTATTCAATTTTAAAATCAACAATTTACAACAGTCCTTGTTTTGGGGAATACAGGGCAAAGAAAGAGATCGACTACCAGGAACTTATGTTTCTTTTAACTGGAGGAGTGAGTCTTAAGAGTGCTGAGAAAAATCCTGATCCAACATGGTTACAGGATAAAAGCTGGGAGGAAATTTGTCGTGCTAGTGAATTTCCTGCCTTCCAAGGACTCAGGTAATTGTTTAAACTTGATGATTTAGCATTGAATAGTGATGGATAAATTTGTAATCTAGTGATTTTTAAATGGTTCTATAGCTGTCTTGATTCATCTCCTTGCTCAACAATCTCTCTTTAAATTTTTCCCAATGAAAGAATAACTATTAAGCTTTTTTCCTTTAGGTCACATTTTTGTAAATATATAGATGAATGGCAGAAAATATATGACAGTAAAGAGCCACACAATGCTGTTTTACCAGAACCAATGAATCAGACGCTAAATGAACTGCAGAAAATAATAATTCTTCGGTGCTTAAGACCCGATAAGGTAAAAGACAAATATGTCCCATTTGGAACCAGATAATTTGGCGTTTTTAAGTACTAGGTTTAAAGTTATTGTTATTTGGTTCTTTAACCCTTATTTCAGATGCTCAAAAGGGTTCATGGAGCTCCTTTAAACTATAGATCTATAGTCTTCTTCAACTTGATAAAGTTTTGGCAATTATTTTTTCAAATATTTTTAGCCACCCCACCCATTATTCTAATTAAATGTACATTAGACTACTTGATATTATACCATAGATGACTGATACTCTGTTAATTATTTTTAAATCTTTTGTATCATTGTGCTTCAGTTTGGGTAGTTTATATTGCTATCTTTTTTTAAAATATATTTTTATTGATTTCAGAGAGGAAGGGAGAGGAGAGAAAGATCAATGAGGAGTGACAATCATCTATCGGCTGCCTCCTGCACCCCCCCCCCTTCTACCCCCACTGGGGATTGAGCCCAAAACTTGGGTATGTGCCCTGGACCGGGAATCGAACCATGACCTCCTCCTGGTTCATAGGTCAATGCTCAATCACTGAGCCATACCCAGCTGGGCTCTATTGCTATCTTTTAAGTTTGCTGATTTCTTCTTTTGTAGCATCTAATCTGTTATTAATCCCATCCAATTAATTTTTTTATTCAACTTCTATATGTTTCATCTCTAGAAAGTTCATATCTATCTATCTATCTATCTATCTATCTATCTATCTATCTATATACACTAAAGGCCTGATGCACGAAATTTGTGCAAGGGACTCAGCCCTCGCAGCCCCATCGGCCCTCAGAACCTCAGCTGCCTCAGCCAGCCCTCGCAGCCCCTCGCAGCCCCAGCTTCGTCCAGAAGGTTGTCCGGATGGTCATTCTGCTGTTCAGCCTAATTAGTATATTAGCTCTTTATTACATAGGATTCTGTCTCTCTTTACATTGTGTTCATGTTTTCCTTTAAATACTTAAACACAGTTATAATAACAGTTTTTAAATCTTTGACTGCTAATTCCATCATTTCTAGATCTGCTTATTTTAATTATTTTACTTTTGAATTTATATTACATTTTACTGCTTCTTGGGAAGTTCAGGAATGCTTCACTAGATGATGGACATTTTTGATGCTTTGAATTGTTATCTCCCTTTAAAGATTGTTGAATTTTGTTCTGCTAGTTCAGAGGTTAGCAAACAAAACCTGTGGGCCAAATCCAGCCCATGACCTAATTTTGTCTAGCCCATGAGCTAAGAATGGTTTTTATATATTAAAGGGTTATTTCTAAAAATAAGAAGACTAAGAAAATACAAAAGATTTTTTAAAAGAAAGAGAAAAAGAATACATAGCAGATATTGTATGTGGCCCACAAATCCTAAAATATTAACTATCTAGCATTCTATAGAAAAGAGTTTGCCAACCCCTTTAGTTACATAGTTCAATTACTTGAATTCAGATTTTTCCTTTCAAATATTGTTTTAAGATTTGTTAGGGCAGGTGTAGAGAATAGCTTGTACTCAATGGATAATTTAGCTTCAACTTCTTAAGTGTAGCCCTTCTGGGGCCTTTACTGGAAGCAAGGTCTCTGTGTCCCTTCCTTAAAAGGTATATTGAAAATCTACTGTGCTAGGTAAAAACTGTAATTGGTATTAATGGTAAAAGGATTAAAAAGATTTCATCGTTGTTCATGGGAAATTATTAAAGGAAGAAATAAAAACCTGCTAAATCATTGTGAGCTCCTTTTTGAAAAACCTTTAGTGGCTTTTCAGTACCATGTAGAATAATGACAAAAGTACACTTTGATAGTCTTCTTACCTCAACTAATCAGACCTCTTTTCTGCCATTCCATTCTTATCTTCTTAATGAATAGCATTTTTATTGTTATTTAATTTTAATGTAATTTATAAGTAAGTAACATATTCCTGTGGTTCAAAACTGAAACACTATTTTGAATCACATGGATATATGAATACAATGAAAAGTGTACCTCCAGTCTTCATCTCTGACTTATTCAACACCCTTCCCCTCAGGCAATTAATGTCATCTGCTCTTTGTTATCCTTTTATGCACATACAAGAGGCCCGGTGCACAAAAATTTGTGAACTCGGGGGGGGGGGGGGGTCCCCTCAGCCCGGCCTGTGCCCTCTCACAGTCTGGGACCCCTTGGGGGATGATCATCTGCTGGCTTAAGCCTGCTCCCGGGGGGAATGTCCCTAAGCTGGCAGTCATACATCCCTCTGGCAGCCCGGCAGCCCTGGGGGATGTCCACTTCGGGATGGGGGTCCCCACTGGGGTGCCTGGCCAGCCTGGATGAGGGGCTGATGGCTGTTTTCAGGCTGACCACACCCCCTTTAGGATGGGGGTCCCCACTGGGGTGCCTGGCCAGCCTGGATGAGGGGCTGATGGCTGTTTTCAGGCTGACCACACCCCCTTTAGGATGGGGGTCCCCACTGGGGTGCCTGGCCAGCCTGGATGAGGGGCTGATGGCTGTTTTCAGGCTGACCACACCCCCTTTAGGATGGGGGTCCCCACTGGGGTGCCTGGCCAGCCTGGATGAGGGGCTGATGGCTGTTTTCAGGCTGACCACACCCCCTTTAGGATGGGGGTCCCCACTGGGGTGCCTGGCCAGCCTGGATGAGGGGCTGATGGCTGTTTTCAGACTGGCCACACCCCCTTTAGGGGGGGTCCCCACTGAGGTGCCTGGCCAGTCTGGGTGAGGGGCTGAGGGCTGTTTTCAGGCTGGCTGGCGACGGAAGCTCCCAGCCTCTCCTTTTTTTCTTTTTTCTTTTTTTTATTCTGGGGTTTGTTTAGCTTCTATAATTGAAACTATGTTGCCGTCACTGGAGCTAAGGGCCCGCTCCAGCTCTGTGGCCACCGCCAGCTGAAAGCAGGTATCTGGGATTTGTTTAGCTTCTATAATTGAAACTTAGTTGCTTTCAGCTCAGAGCTGGGCCGCGGAAGGCGGGGAACCTTGGCTTCCTCCATCACTGGAGCAAGCAAGCCTCCTGCTCGCTTCAGCTGCATGGCTGCCGGCCGCCATCTTTGTTGGCGGTTAATTTGCATATCTCCCTGATTAGCCAATGGGAAGCATAGCCAAGGTACAGTCAATTACCCTTTTTGTCTTTTATTAGATAAGATAAATATGCATACATGTAACTTTTCCATTTATTTTTATTTATTTAATCCTCACCTGAGGACATGCCTAAAGAGAGGAAGGGAGAAAGAGAGAGAAACATCAATGTGAGAGAGAAACATCTATCAGTTGCCTTCCATACACATCCCAACCTGGGATAGAACCCACAGCCCAGGTATGTGCCCTGACCGGGAGTTGATCTGGCAACCTTTTGGTTTACGGCACGATGCTCAACCAACTGAGCCACTCTAGCTGGACTCCATTTATTTTTAATACAAATGGTAGCATTCACTGTTTTACATATTTTTATTTTCCCTATCAGTTCATTAAAAATGTTCTCATTCTTCTTTACAATGCATGGCATTCCATTAAACCATAATTTCTTTAACCAGTACCTATTGTAAATCTTTACAATATTTATATATTACCTACTATAAAAATGCTGTAATGAACAACCTTATTCAAAAGTTATTTCTGCCCAGACGATGTGGCTCAGTGGTTGAGCGTTGACCTTTGAGCCAGGAGGTCAGGGTTCAATTCCTGATCAGGGCGCATGCTGGGTTACAGGCTCATTCCCCAGTAGGGGGCATGCAGGAGGCAGCCAATCAATGATTATCTCTTATTATTATTATTTTTTTTACTGGTACTAAGAACAGTACTCTTTTTTTATTACACCTCTCCATGTGGACCTAAATCATGATTGTGTCCTGGGAGACTCTTATTTCATTGCCAGTACACACTAGTAACCAAAGTATAAGAGAACACATTTTTAATAATTTACAGAGATTAGTTTCATGACTTTGAATAAATAGATAAATGATGATAGAGACATCATTATTCGTAAAAAAACAATTTCAAGTTATTCAACTTTTACAATACTGTTCACATTTAAATATCTTTGCAAAACTATTATTTGGCAGTCATTTGTTTTATTCCTATTAAGACTGGATGCAAAATAGCTTTTGTCCAAAAGTGAATAATTTTTCTCCGATGGATTTGAATCACTAAAATGTAAGTTCCAAAAAGGAAGGAGTCTTTGTTTTATTCACTGATGCATTCCAAGCTCTTACAACAGTGCCTGACATGAAGTACATGCTCAATTAATATTTGTTACATGAGTAAGTCCTGTATCTTAATTTTGCAAATATAAAATAAATAATGGTTTTCAAGCATGACACAAATATTTTTTTTTCCATTCAAACTGCACTTAAAATTTCTAAAACAGACAAGTTATAGCTACTAATTTTACCCAACCTAGGACAAGTTGTACCCTTCTGGGTACAAATAGCTTGACTGGTGAAGGAGAAAGACCTCAAAAGTATCTGCACATTTATTGTGCTCCCCTTACCTTGTTGAATGATGAAATCATCAGATTGAATGCCATTGTAGTTTCCACATAGGCCACATGATTTCCCTTTAAGCTCCTCAGATATTTTGAGGTAAATTGCAGATATTCCATCCCAAGCCAATGAAAAACCAAAGGTTGTTTTCACCAGAATGTAGTCAGCTAGTTTCTCAACAGATACCTGTCCAATTGTCTGAGGCAATGTTAAACTTGAAAAATGGAACAAAGACAATTTAATTATAATGAAGAATCAATTATAGATCATTCTTTTCATAGTAACAGACAATTAAGTAAAACATAGTTATTATTCAAAATTATTGAATAAACTATGCAATTAGATTTACCAAGCAACCATCCTATAGAAAATCTTGTGTTTTGAAAAATTCAATATTGAAATAAAAAGAAAACAAAAATTATATCCGTTTCTCTATGATAATTTAGATTTTATACTTATAATTGGATGATTCTTTCAACCAACCAAAAACACACTTCTGCTAAATATCAGTGATTTTTATAATCTGGAAAATAACTATGTCTACTTTGAA